TGGCCTTAGACTAAGAATAGCTAAGAGCGTTGTTATGATCTGGCCTTAGATTAAGAATAATTTAAGAGCACTATTGGATTAATATCTGAATTGAATAAAATGTGTTGATATGAACTGAATAATACCAAACTGTGAATGTCTGAAATGAACATTGTGTGCATGACATCAAATGATTTGATTATGAATTTAGATTCAGTTTATATGGATGTTCGACGCATTAGATATGCTTACTCAGCTTTACCGCTGAGCGTGTAGTGTGTTTTATTTGCTACACGCAGGTAAGCAGAAAGCACAATGTGATCCTGGCGGCAGATGGGGCGAGATTGTCGGGATGGATGTGACAAGTTTTGAAACAATTTATGATATGTCAATATTAAAATCGCTTCCGCAATATTGTTGAATACTCCGTACTGTATATGTTATGAAAAATATTATTGGGATTAATAAAGTGTGTTTGAAAAGTTTTAAATTTTTACGATTACCAAGTTAAATACTTTAATCCGAATGGGGCTGCAGACCTGGACGGATTAGGGTGTTACACTTCCCCCTTCAAAATTCTCTAAAAAAAGTATCCTTGATTGTGCATGTGCAAAGCCCACTTGTTGAGATATGAGTATTTTATCTCCAAATAACACACTGACCGAGATGTCCAAATCCATGCATCACACAGGTCAAGAGTTGGAGAGAATCTTTTTCATATAATGGTGAGGGAGACACTGCCATCCCTAAAAAAAATGAAGGCCCCACCACTTAGCACTGCTTCCCACTATTTTCGTATCTTTTTTCTTTTAATCCTCTTGATCCTCCAATCCTTCCCACATGGCTTCTACTCAAATTCCAGCATAGTACCCTCCATTATTGTGAATGGGCCAAGCACCCAATTTATACATCTCTCCTATGGCTGTCCTTTCTGCCTTTCTCTTCTTTGTCCGATTCTCTTGGAAAAGCCCAGCTAGCTGGCATCTATGGCGAGGCAGCAACGCACAGTAAGCTTCAAGCGACAGGTCTCTACAATAGCTAGCTGGTATTTAGGACTGTTGTATGAAGTTCGACCAATGATGAGATAGTCCGGAGATGGCCCAGAATTTTTCCGGCCGGTCTCGACAACAACGGTTGCGAAATTGAGCAGCGGCGATAACATCTCATCACAAAGAGTGGGCGGCATCTTCGAAACGCTTGAAAGTTCTAGAACCTCGACTCCTAAAAGCTGTGGAGTCGCCGGCTTAAGTGAGAAGCAATGGTGATGTTGGCTTCAACGGTGCATCGGTGTAGGGGCGGTTGGCTTCAGCAACGACACCAGCGGCGTATATCGCAGCGGACCTCAATGGGAGTATCGGCGCATGGATATTCGCCTCATGACAGATTTTAGTAAAAATGACGAGTAATCTCTTCCCATAATAAAGCTGATTTCAAGTGAGGGTGGATCGGATCCACTGCCGGAAATCCATCTATTGGGTCGGTACAGCTCTTTTTCTGCTCCGGCATCACCTCATCAATGTTGATTGTGGTGGTGATTGCGGCGGGTTTGAGCAGCGATGGCAAGTCTGGACGAAGTCCTCCAGAGCAGTGGCGGATCACATCGCTGTGGCGACGGACAGAATCGAGGATGGTGCTTGACCCGGCTAGTGCGCGACTTCTCGGACAGAGGTGATCCCCGATCATTCCTTCCTTCCATTCTTTCCTCCATTTTTTTTAACGGAGTACGCAAATAGTCCCTGGAAATTGGGCTGCGGCAATCAAGGGCGACGGCAATGAGTGCTTTAGTGATGAAGACATCTTGGCGGCCTTGCAATTTCAGAAGTAGCTTCATGCAACGTCAATGGTGAAGGTAGAGCCAAAGGGTGGAGGGCGGCGATCCAAGGTCGCACAGGATCTGGTTGGGATCTGGCAATTTGCTAATTTCACGCCTCTTTTTTTTTGTAAAACTCTTCTCCCTCTCGCCAGGGGATGAAGCTGGGCTGCAACAAAGGACGGCGGCAGAGATCGAATTCTTTGGTGGTGACGGTGATTTTGGTGATACGGCTCGCCGAGTTGGTGGAGGCCGGCAAATTAATCGTGCAGCGGCGGTTTCTCTTTGTCGGCGGCGGCTTCTCACTGTGGGGCGGCGACGGTTTCTCATTGTGGGGCGGCGGCTTCTCTTTGGTTTGAAGGAAAACCCCCCATTCTTTCCCTTCTAATTTTTCGGTGTCTGGCGGCGGAAATTCAGAGGATATTTGGGCTAGGATTTCGCCCATTGAGAAATGATAACCAGAGGTGGTTTTTTTTAATCGGGATCTCTCTCTCTTTTTCTTTTGTTGGCGTGGGGAAAAAAGAACAAAAAACAATTCTGCTCCTCTTTTCTTTCATCTCTCTTTTTTTTTTGAGCAACACCTCCCTCTCCTCTAATCCTTTGGAAATGAAGAAACTAAAAAATATGGCTTTTC